CCCTGCTGACCGCAGCTCTCCATGGTTATAATACTGTCACTTCCCCACTAGCCCAAGGATCTGAAAATACTTTTTGGTAAGCCACGGGAAGGACCCTCCTCCCTAAGTCAGTACCTTTAGCTGCTGTTGGAACAACTCCAAGCCTCAAATAATTCAAAACTGTGTGAAACGCGTTTTTGCCTGAATTAGGTGGGTGGCCTTTGTCCAGAGGCCATGTTTTAATGACTCTGCAGCGTGGCCCCCCTGCCATCCATGCCTGCGGGGATGCTCAACCCTGTCTCCCAGCACTGGTGCATCCCCAGCCCCGTGCTCCAGTCTTCTCACGGTCCTTGGGCATATCAAAACCTCTCTGAGCCTCCGTTTCTTCTCTGTAAGACAAGGGTGAGGATCACATGAGAAAATGTTCAGCATTTCTGTGTGTAACTGTCGAAAAAAAAAACAAAAACCAAAAAACTAGAGCTTAGTTTTCCTCTGTACTCTATCTTTGAACACTTTTAAGTTGGATTCTAGCTTCGCAGAGGCAAAGGTCCTTAGAAAATCTGTAACTGAAACCGCTAACTTTATACTAGGGCAAACTGGGTCCAGAAAGCTGAATGATTTACACGGGGACTTGCTGTGAGAGGAGGATTGGCATGTAGGTGTCCCGATGTCCAGCCTTCCGTCCTTTCTTCGGTATCACAACCACGCAGCCCTGGGGCCTCTCGGGTGGAGCCTCTTACTATTATTATTCTGAATAGCTCTGATGCTAACTGGTGTCTTCCCCTTTCTCCTTTCCTTTCATCAACACTTAGTGAGCACCTGTTTTATCTTGTGCCCTATACTTGGTTTCTGTTAGAGAACCTTGCCTTGCCTACAATAAGTACTAAATAAATCTTTGACAGTGGTTTAATTATCCACATTTATTCATATATTTAGTGATAAGCACTTGCTTTGTGCTAAATCCTCTTTAGGGAGGCTGCGAGGAACCCAAGAGGGGCAGATAATGACATGGTCCACAATGCACTTAAGGAGTTGGCAGAGTTTGGGATTAGGGGAGTCTGCACGTGTGTGGATAATTAGCATTCAAGAGAAAGTAGAGTGCACGTAAGTACAGCTGTGTGCACCGTAGTGGCAGGAGGTCACTTTGCTTTGGGGCTGGAAGTCTGGGAAGTCAGACCCTGTACTTTTTCAGCGTAAACCCTTGATCCCCTTCTCCTTTAGCCTCTCTCGTGACTGCTTCTGCAGGCTTCTCTCCTAGACTTTCTCTTCTCACTCTATGTGGTCTTTCTGGAACATCATCCATCTTCCTGCCTCAATGATCATCTAATTCTTGATGACTTTTAAATCTGTATCTCCAGAGGAAAGTGTTTCTCTGAGTCTCAGACCTTTACATCCTACTGTTTCCCAAATGTCACTGATTGCATAACTTGTCACTTGTACAGAACTGATCTCCTCTCCCCTCCAGTCTACTTCTCCTCAGTGAGCTCAGAAACCTGGAAGTGGTCCTTAACTCCCTACTCTTTTCTTTACTCTTCCACCACCCCAGTAATATCGAGGTTCCTTAAACCCCAGAATCCTGGAAATCTAAACAGCCCTGTCACAGTTTCCTTTCTCTCCAACCCACTTTTCCCTATCACAGATTTCTTTCTCTCCAACCCACCTTTTCTGCCACTGTCAATCTCTGTGTACAATCAAGATTCACCTGCAGTTTTGTGATAACTTTTTACCCAAATGGTCTTCCTATTTTGAGTCATGCTCACCTATCAGTCCTCCAAATTGGACCCAGAGAAGTCTTCTTATATAAAATAAAACAAACAAATGAAGTCCCTCCATCACTTACAGCTCTTAGAGTGTATTCCCTCTGTTCCCAAACTTCATACTCTTGTAAGTGGCCTCTGCAACCTGTGCTATGGATTGAATTGTGTCCTCCAGAAGCATACGTTCAAGCCCTCACTCCTCGTACCCCAGAATGTGAGCTTAATTGGGAATGGAGTTGTTGACATGTAATTAGTAAGATGAAGTCATGCTGGAGTAGGGTGGGCTCTTAATCCTGTATGACTGGAATCTGTATAAGAAGAGGGAAATTTGGACACAGACATAGGCATAGAGGGAGGACAGCCATGGGAAGTGAAGGCAGAGATTGGAGTTATGCTGCCAAAGCCAAGGAACACCTGGCTGCTGCTTCCAGAATCTGGAAGAGGCAAGGAAAGGATTTCTCTTTCCAAAAAGGCTTTGGAGGGAGCATGGCCTTGCCAATACCTTGATTTTGGATCTCTAGCCTCCAGAACTGCGAGACAATATATTTCTGTTGTTTTAAGCCACCCAGTTTGTGGTAATTTGTTATGGCAGCCCTAGTAAATGAACATAAACTGTCAGGATCCAAATTCCAAGTATCTTTCCAGCCTCCTCTGCAGTCACGTGCCTCAATTCACCCTGTTATCTCAGGCACACTGGATTACATACAGCTCTTGAAACACACTGTGCACCTGCACACCTTTGCTCACACTGGTCTCTGGTGGAAGGCTCTTCCTCTTCTCCACTTGCCCACCTTCTCCACAACTTCTTCCTTCTGTTCCTTCGGCACCAGACATGTGAACAACGATGACTTTTCCTGGCCCCCTTGAGAGCAGGGACTCTGCTTCCCTCGTCTCTATCTCTGGTGCTTTAGCACTGAGCTGGCCTAGCACAATGCTGCAAGAATTGATTTGAGCTGGGTCACATGTTGGTCCACAGTTTATGAGTTGGTGGGTGGTGGGATTCAAAACCCTCATTCCTCCCTCCTCACTGGATTTCCAAAGAGAGGTTCACCCTGATTTCATCACCCACTAAAAGCTAATTAACTACAGGGCATGGATTCTTCTTGGAAACCCCCAAACTGCCAACTTCTTCTCCCTCATGCTGTTACCAAGGCTCTCGAGCGGGCTTGGAGGAAGGAAACATGGACAAAAAGATTTTGTTCGTTTCTTTGAGGCCAACAACTAGTCACTGTCCCTTTTCAAGTGAAAAATGGGGAAAACGCTAGCTAACTGTTGTTTAGTGACCCCAACCCCCCATCCCTTTAAAACAAACACTCTTTTCAATTAGGAAGATTTGTCACTGGGGACAGTAATTCCGTGTCCTACCAAAACAAACACAGTTGTAATTAGTTTTATCCAGGAAGAAAATTAACTCTGTTTATCTTAGCATAATTAATCACTGACCTTTTTCCGTCCCGGCAGCTTGGGGGAGAGCATGGGAGTGGGGGGTTGTGATCTACAGCACAGGGGCGTTCCGGGCTCCATCTATCTCTCATCTTGGTTACACAGCTGTCTGCGTGAGTAATTTGAATTAATATTCCTAGCCAAGAGTTGTGGAGCTGCCTCAGAGCTGGACTTGGAGAGACCACTAAATAAGGCTATGATTTTATGGCTTCAGTCTGTGGAGAATTTTAGATGAGTACGTATCAGATGGGCATGAAGGCACGTGGCTGACACTGAAGTTTGCTTGGCTCCTTTCATGCCCTTCACCTTGACCTCAACAAGTCTTGAGAAACGGGAAGGATCCTCAGGCAAAGGCATTTGTCCTTAGTTGTGGAAGAGAGGCTGTTGCTGCAGTGGAGAGGGACAGGCTTTGGAGCTACGGTTTGGGTGTCAGTCTTGACTCTGATATCCTCTAGCTATATGACTTTGGGCAAAATACCTCATCTTTCTGAACCATAGTAACCTCTTAAGTGAAAAAAAAACAACAACAAAAAAACAAAAACAAAACAGAAAAAAACCAGGACATGTGTGCATGTGTGTGGTGGGGACAGGGTTAGTAATATATATCCACAGGGATGAATAAGGATTAGAAGTGAGGTATGCTATGTCCCTAGCACAGGGCCTGGTACTAAATAGTAATTCAGTGAACACAGGTAGGTTTTGTTATTTTTGTATGAACTAACTGAGATTCCAGGGATGGAAGGACACAATGAATGTCCTCTCTCTTTATTTCAATAGACCCACAACTCATGGAGACCCTACTGTGTGCTGGGCTCTTCTGCATTAGGCCCTGGAAATAAAAAGAGGGTTTAATCCTGGCTCCTGTCCTTGAGGAGCTCACAGCCTATTGCAGAGGGAGATATACCCAGATGTTCTCAATGTGTTGCAACAAATGCTAAGCTGGAGACATGGGCATGAGATCCCCTGGTAGAGAGGGAAGCAGAGACTGAAGGGAGTCTGATTTCACTTGTTCTGAGCCATTTAGTCAATGTATAATTCCTCACTTAATCCTCATGATAACTCTAAAAATAGGCATGAGGGAGGGGTCCCAGAAAAAGGTAACTGAGGCTCACAGATGGGAAGTCATTAGACCCCAACTACACAGCTAGAAAATGGTGCAGCTGGGATGTGAATCAGATTTGTTTGACACGGGAGCCTGTGCTTTGTCAGTTTTCACCTTGGAGGTCCTGGCTGGGTTTTAATGACTGGTGTCCTTCCTCAGGACCTTTAATCAGGAGCGTTAAAGCAGCAAGGCCCTGAAGGCTGGTGTCAGGAGACCCCAGGGTTAACAATGCAGCTTCTTGAGCCTCACCTCAGGCTCTTCCATGTTAAAATCTCTTGCAGGAGGATAATTTTAGCAACTATAATACCTAAGGTGATTCTTATGTTCTCACCATCTGTTATAGTTTTAAAAACCTACCTTTTGCTCATGATGTTCAGATGGCTACTCCCACATGTGTTTGCAGGTGGGTGGGGAGAGCGTGTCCTCTAGGTAACAGGAAAAGAGAACTATGAAATCAAGGAGGCCCACATTTTGAACTGAGAGGGATGAAGAGGGGAGGTGAGATGGGCCAGGACCTCTTGAGAGTGGCCTAAATAGCTCACACTGGGGTGAGTGTCTCTGGCTGCCAGAGGCAGAGTGGTGGACCGGGCATCTGCTGTGAGCACAGGCCACTCACTCCCTGTCCATAGGCTTGTAACAGTGGGTTCAGAAGCTGCATAGGTCCTTTCTTGAAGCAGGAGAGGCCTTCAGCCTGGGAGGCACCTACTGCCCACTGCAGACAGGGAGCAAGGCAACCTTTACTGATGCACGGATTGCTGGGAGGATGTGGGGCTTTTGTCCTCTCAGATCTAGAAGACAACTGGAGGCAGGAAGAGTCAGTTTCTGGTGCCACAAAGGACTCCAGGGAAGGAGCAACCACAGATACTGAGGGCACTGAGGCTGGTTTTGCCAGGCCATGGTGATTCCTGGCCCTGCAAGAGAGGTCACTCAGATGGCAGGGGACTCCACACATTCTGAGCTGGAGAGAGAAAGTGAGATGGGCTATCAGCAGAGGCTGAAGAATCAGGCAGAATTGTATTCTATGTCCCACCTCTGCCTCTGCCAGTGACAAGCTGTGCAAACTTGGAAACCTTTTTTGTTTTTTGTTTTTTTTTGAGTCAGAGTCTTGCACTGTTGCCCAGGCTGGAGAGCAGTGGTGTGATCTTGGCTCACTGCAGTCTCAACCTCCCGGATTCAAGCGATTCTCTTGCCTCAGCCTCCCAAGTAGCTGGGATTATAGGTGCCCGCCACTGTGCCTAACTAATTTTTGTAATTTTAGTAGAGATGGGATTTTTGTCATGTTGGTGAGGCCGGTCTCAAACTCTTGACCTCAACTGAACTGCCCCCCTCGGGCTTTCAAACTGTTGGGATTAGAGGTCCCAGCCACTGGGTCCGGGCAAATTTGGAAACCCCTTTTTCCCTCCTAGTGCCTCAGTTTTCTCAAATGTAAAATGGGAATAACAATATCTACCTTGTAAGACTTTTGTGAGGGTCTAATAACTATCTTATACACATTATTTCATTTAATCTTCACAACAACCTTTGAAATAGGGATATGATCATTCTCAAATTTACACTCGAGCAAGAGTAGGCAGTTCAGATGGCTTGGCCGAGGTTACCTGGCATTTGAGTGGCAGAGCCAAGAATTAAACCCAGCTCTGTCTGACGCTAGACCCTTTGCTTCAACCATATTCTGTAATGTCTCTTTTCTAGGAATGAATGAAGGAATGTTCTCGCATGTCATCATCCAGCCTCTGAGGTGCCTCTGACAACCATAATCGCCTCCTCATGAAACCGCGCCCAGTTCCTCCTGTGACTCTTCCTGCTGCAGCCATGGGCCTTGCTGTCCTGGCTGGGAACGCTGTTTTCATCTTATCTGGGGATTCTCATTGCTGACGGTGCTGGAGGCTGTGGGGCACAGTGGTTTCAAGCACAGGCTCTGGAGTCGGGCAAACCTGGGTTTCAGTATTGCTCAGGAAGCTCTTGGGCAGGAGGACTGTTGGTGAGCAGGCACTGTCTGATAATGGGGTTTCCCAGGATCCCAGATTTCTTGGGGGCACACAAGTAGGCCAAAGATAATCTGGGAACCTCCCGGAGAAGAATTGCCTGAGACTGTACTCTCCCCAAGAGGCTGTAGCCAAGAGAATAGGGGCCACGTCACGGGGGCTCATGATGGAGTCTGGGCTTTGTGGGAAAGGAAGTGGGGAGGGTCTCAGAAATGTTTTTACAATACGAAATCTTCCAGTTAGAAATTTATATGCAGGATTTAATCACAAGGAAATTTGGACAGGACTCATTTTTCTCATTGCTGCTCTAAGCAGCTGCTCTAAGCAGCCTGGACTGTCTTCCCTGTGGCTTTGTTGAGTTCAGCAAACATTTATTGTGCACATACTGTGTGCAGGCCCTTTGCTGGGGATACAGGGATGAAATGGGGACAGTGCCTATGCCTGAGGGCATTGCCCTGAAGCTGGATGCTAAGGCCATCTGTGTGTGTGTCTGTGTCTGCATGTATCTCTGTGTCTGTGTGTGTCTCTGTGTCTGTGCTTCTGTGTCTGTGTGATATCTGTGTGTCTCTCTTCGTGTGTTTGTGTATCTTTTTGGGTGTCTGTGTGTGTGTTCTCTGTATGCCTGTATGTGTCTTTGTATGTGTGTTTCTCTATGTGTCTCTCTGTGTGTGTCTATATGTGTGTGTCTGTGTCTATTTTGTTTGTTTCTGGGTGTGTCTACCTCTGCGTGTCTCTGTATACCTGTATCTCTGTGTGTGTCTGTGTGTGTGTATTTGTGTGTCTCCGTATGTGTGTCCCTGGGTGTGTGTCTGTGTGTGTGTATTGAGAGGGAGGGAGAAATGAAGGGAGTGACAGATGGGTCAGCATGGAAGGTGTATCCTCATTCACAGCTCTGGGAAGAATCAGTCAATCCACCTACTGGTCAAGACCAACTCTGGTGGTACCCAGCTGACAGTAGGAACGCGACTTTTCATTTAAGAATGGGTTTGCATTTCCTAGGAAAAGAATCTAGAAGTTGGAGTCTCAAGTGTTTTTTTTTTCTTTTTTTTTTTTTTTTTTTTGTGATTGAGAGCTGAGCCTTGTGGGTGTTGGCTAATAGATAGATACCAATCTGCATGTTGGGACAGCCACAGAGAAGAGGGAGAGGGAACCACAGACAGTGGGCAGGGGGCTGGTGGAACCAGTCTGCCTTTGTGCCCAAACCCCCAACTATAAATACCTCATCTTGGGGAGCTCAGTCTTTGGTTTGTTCATAAAAAACCAATCTGGGAACCAGAGGTGGACAGGAAAGAGGAGGCTGACCTGCCGCTCCCAGGTTGATGTGATCTTGGCTGGTGTTGACAAGTGTATTATGGTTCATAGCATAGAACAAACCCTTAGAGACTCCCCTTGTCCTCACCGGGGCCACCACACCAAACCAGGTATCTTCAGGTGTGAGGACCACAAAAAATTGGAGATCTCACCAGGGTGGGCAGGGATTTCTTGGTTAAAGTCTGAAGGAGAGAAGACTCAGGGGCATCTTTCTGGCTTCAAATCTCTGAAGGGCCAAAGGCAGAAGTGCTGGGGGAGAGTCAAGTTTTCATTTAGAACAGGGACAGCCTGACAGTGGCTGCCTTATGTGGCAGTGAGTTTCAGTCACCAGTCAACAGAGGCCCAAGGACTACTCACCAATGGGGCCAGGAGGCCAAGGAGGGCTGGGGAGGGCAGAGCAAGGACCCTGCAGGTCACCACAGGCTTCTGCCTCAGATCCTCTGACTGAGGGATGATCTGATGAAGGATTGGTGACAGACAAGGCCATTTGAGGCAGTGTTCATCATATCCTTGGAACATGTAAAGGCTACAACTTAACATTTATAGGATGGTCTCCGCAGGACAGGCTCCATCATGAATTGCTACCCAGAGGGCTGAATGCTCTGCAGCTCAGGCTTTCCCTGTGCTATGTGGCTTCTCAGGAAAAGGAAAGAGAATAGGACGAGGATGAAAGAAAACAGGGAGAAAAGGAAGGGGAGGGGCTCTCAGAAGATGGAAGTCTCTGTTGATTGGGCACTTGCTCTGTTCCAGCAGTTATATACTTGGCCACACTGGATCTTTGTACAACTTTCTCTGGTTGTTTTACAAGTGATGGTCCAGGCGAACTCTCAGCCAGTGAAGTTCTAGGTGTGCCTGCCTGTGAAGACTGTTGTATTTGGGGTACCCCATGGCCTTCTTCAGGTGGGCAGCACGGTGGCTCAAGCCTGAAAGGTCACTCGGAGGTCATTTCTTACAGCCCTTACCCACTCCCTGCAGGCCCTGCCTCCTGTGATCCACTTGCCCTCTGCTTGATTTTTCCGATCTGTGGATTTATAGAAAAAAGAGTGGAGTGCTTGGCTCCCTCCTGTGGTTAGAGCAGTCAGAAACTGTTGCTTGAAGGAGGCCTTGCCTTTTAGGAGTGCTAAGAAGATCACCACAATGGAAAAGATTTGGCAGAGCTAAGACATAGGGGAATATTCCAGGAATGGTGTTATCTGGCACATAGTAGGTGCTCCACACAAGTCTAATGAATTAGTGAATGAGGTAGAAACCTGGGCCATTGAGGGAAAAAAGAACCAAAGCAAAGAGATGCGAAGGCACAGTATCCAATCAGGAAGGGGGCCAGCTGGGGCCACAGGCTGTGGACCCGACTCTCCAGCCATCCCTGGGAATCCTGCACCAGCGATCTCCCCTGTGGGGCTAAAGCCCCCTTGTGCAATCATGGGGTTGATGTATATGGGTGGTGCTCCTTATAGGCTGCAATTATTAATCACCTGGGAGGTTTTTAAAAATGATTACTGGGCCCTATCATTACCGATTTTGACTTAATAGGTCTGAGGTGGGGCCTGTGCAATGCATTTTTTGAAAGCTCCCCAGGTGATTCTGGGGTCCTTCTGAGGCTAAGAGCCAGGCGTGAGTTATTTTTCTGAATGCTTCCAGCTCATATGGCTTGTGATTCAGAGCTTTTCTTTTTTTAAAGATATTTCACTAAATTAAATTCGTATCCTGTGCTAGTAGATGATGTTATTTCACCATTAAGACAATGGGCTGATATTTGTCACTAATAAATCTAAAGATAGATCTTGATATTTGCATCCATAAGGTGATCCCCACCATAGGCAAGGGGAATATGATTTATTCCCCATGCCTCTAATGTAATTAAGCATACATTTTAAAGAAAGATGCACTATTGAGATACAAACTAGAAATGGCAGTTTAACCTTCAAATTGCTGTTTTGTTAAGGTTACCATTGTATTGCTTCAGTACTTAACAGTGCAT